ATTTAACATCCATTTCCTGCCCTTCTCCAATAAGATGGGAGCACTGGGAGGACAGGAGGAATGATAGAGGACTCAGTGGCGCATTTTTTTAATGCTTCCCATCCAGCTGTTGTGTGTCTGCCTTGGGGCCCAAAATACTATAGTCACTCAAGACTGGGTTCAGTCCTAGTTTTGAGGAACATCTGTGAGACCAAAACTGGACCTAGAAATTAGATGAGGTTTGTGAAAAACAGCCAACAGCTGACCTGACTGCTCCTGCTGGGGTCAGCCTGGCCCTTTACCAGTTAAGCCAACAGGGGCTATGAGTCTACAAGACCCTTGACCTCAATTCAGGACAAGTTTACAGAAATGACCTCTGTTATTTTGTATTTGGACTGATCAAGAATATAGGAATAATCCTGGTAGAGTCAAAGGATGTGGATTTCTAGATTTCTAGATTGGATGTGGATTTCTACCATATATTATATGACCTTGAGGGAGTCATGTAACATTTTGCAAAATAACCAGGTGACTGGAGGAGCCCCTTTGGCTCCAGTTATTCCAGGATCCAAGGTTTTGGATTCACCAAGGTCTAATTTAGTAGTCCCAACAATACCATTTTGGGATGTTATCAGCTAAATTGTGTAAGCACAGGTTCTTCTTGGTCATCTGGGTCCTCTCCAGTCACCATTCACATAGCATGTCATGATACCCTGTGCCCCATGATCATGCTCCCTCCTGTCTCCTTGGCACAGTAAGCCATTTTGTATGCTCATCTGCAGACAATGTAAACGTTTGCATCTTTTTAAATTATGGATCACATCTTTTAAATTTATAGTTTAAAATATCCATAAAATATTTTACTTTCCTGTATCATTTCTCCTGATTATTGAAAACTATGGTGTTTTGAAGAAAAGAACAATGTCCATAAGTGGATACAGAGGCAGAGAAATTAGTGCATCCTCTTTTATTGGTGCTGAGTTGGTGGTGAAATGAAGTGGTTCGGGAGGGACTATGCCACCATCACTGTTAAATGACGCTGTCTTCTCCTTAAAATTAAAAAAAAAAAAAATCACAGCCATAACTTGAATTTTCTCTGCAGATAAATAAAGCATATCTCCTCATAGAATGACATGAAAGCATTTACCTGTCTTGTAGCTTCTTTGTGTGAATGAGCTAGCCTAAAACAATAATAATCATAGTAATAATCAAAATTTATTGGAGAGTAAATGGAAATATTTAGTGGATACTCTCTCTCTTTTTGGTGTTGGAGGGTTGAAACCAAGGACACTTTACCTCTGAGTTGCATCCCTCGTCCTTTTTATTGTTATTTTGAGACAGGGTCTCACTAAGTTGTGAGGCTGACTTTGACCTTTCCACCCTCCTGCTTCAGCCTCCCAAGTCACTGAGATTACCAGCATTCACCACCACGCCTGTTCTCATGGGTACTTTTATTGATGTCAAATGTCGGTTTCTTCACAGTCTTATTTGGTTTCCTGTGGATGAAATATTTAAATAGTAGATTAAATTTTATGTTCCTATTTTCATAAAGAATTTCATGATTTTTTTCTTTGAACAGTGAAGCGGTATTTGAATCAGTTTGCTCTATATGATAATTGGGAGGTGAGATAAGATTCTGTTGCCAACTTAAAGAAACTATTCAAATTCTTTGTCTTGTGTACTTGAAGCGTATTTAAAAAAAAATTAGAATAGACTCATTCCTTAATAATACTTCAAATAAAATATTTAGAGTCTTTTAGAATAATGATAATTGAATAGTCTACTTACAAGGGTGGTTTTCAGGAACATAAGTGAAGAACAAGTGAGACTATGTTCTATAAACTAAGTTCCTTGTAAAAGATTATTTTAGATATTGTTTAAGTTCATCTATCCAGAATCACCACTTCCACTATTTGCTCCCTGCTCTCTTCTTCCAATACCTCCTTTTCCCTTTTTGTTCCCAGTTACCGTAACTTTACAATGAAGTTTGCTCCCCAGTTATCCACACGACCTAAGTTATTCTTGCTGAGTTTTCTTAGCTGCCTTATTTGCTGTATTTTCCTTTCCGTTTTCTAAGAGGTAATGAGAAGTATAGAGAAAATGCCAAATGCTGCCACTGATCCATGTTGTAACTAGTGTTGAGGTATTTTATGTTTATGCACCTTAATTTGTGTGTATAATCCATTTGCAACTTCAGTGGGTTTATATTTTAGAACTCAGTCTGGCTTAAATGTAGAATATAAAATCCACAAAGCTCTTTCAGAATGTGCTCTCCGGCTTTCAAAAAAACATTACTCCATGATTTCATATGGTCATTGAGCCAACATTTATTGTAGACCTACTATGTGTCAGGTACAGTGTTGAGGATGAAAGACACTGAGACAGACAAGCTCAGGGTTCCTGCCTCTGGGTGGGCCTGGGTGAATGAATCATGATCATCATCTACATCCACAAGATCCCTTGTCCCCATCACTAGCCAGTTGTCTCCCCAGAAGCAAGTTATTTCTCTAGCTCTATTTCCTTTTGTAATTGAGCCCATTTCCCTTGGTTCTCTTTGATGTCCCTTTTAGCTGTGAAATGTTCAGTCTCTAATTATTGTAAATCGTTCTTTAAATTGCATTATCACTGCTTAAGCCCACCAGCGACATGCTGCGGTTAAAAATAAACAGGGAACAGTCTTATTGGTAAAGCTTAACACCTTCTGTCTCAAATTAAAATTTTTCAACCTCTAGTAATATCTACCCTTTTATTTTCCTACAGTTCCACTCACGTGCTGTTCATAAATCTTAACTCTTAAGTATGAATTTTTGGCTCCCTGTTAGATAAAATATTTCATTTTACTTAGTCAAAGCCAAACTTGGTGAAGCCTGGAAGGGCTTAGGAGGCTTCTCTTGTTCCCAGTACATCGGGATCCTTGGTAGATTTTCCTTCTAGTATGTTTGTTTGTTTTTAAAGAAAGGAGGAGTTGTTTGGAACTGCCCCATGATGGTTAGGTTGCAACATTGTCTATGCAACCAAAGCATGCGCTGCGTTTCAGCCACGGCTTTGCAGTGGCAATATCATAAATGTCCCATCACTGGAACCCAGTCTGTTTCGGCATCTCCAGGCCTCATTGCTGCTTGTAATCTGATTAAGGGGTTTGATTTGTTCCAGCCTGCAGCCTTTTGCTTTGAGTTTACCATACGCTCAAGGACACACAAGTGCCTGGTCGCTCTAGCCCTGCACTGGGAACGATCTCAACCCAGTTTTGCTTAGACCAGCCGAAGGCCGTGGCTGGTTGAGAATCTGTCCTAGAGCAGGCTTTGTTACCAAACCTTCTGTGGGCAACCATGTTCAGAAGTCCAGGGTTTTCCAGCTTGGGAACTTACAAATTTGAGAAACAAGGTAAGGCAAGAGAAATAGCGAATGCACTCATGTATTCGTTTTGTAACATCTCTTGGAATCCTACATTTTTACCCTGTATTCTCCTGTGTCGGATTAGTTATACAGTTTTCTCAAAGGATGCTTTAAATATCTAATTGAATTTATAAATGAGCTTATCTTGTAATTGTTGAAAATGTACATTTTTTTTCTGTTAATAAGTTAAAGACATTGCTAAACCACTAAAGCCTTTAGATAGGAAAAATTGCAAATTAAATTGGAATGCCCAGACTTTGGATCAAATCCTGGATGTGCTGCGCTTTAGCTAAAATATTTTTCTAAACCAAATGCTGTATGTACTAAATTATTTCCAGTAGGCAGTGGTGAGTGAGTCTCTTTTTATTAACTCTTCATATGAGACAGTTTGAAACAAAACATTGTCTTTCCAGCACAGAGGAAGATACTTGCTTTTAATTTAGTTGCTAAAGTGATATCACAGACTCAATGTGCTCTTTGAACAAAAATGAAGTGTTGAGGTTCTTTTGAATGTTAGATCTGAAGTTTAGCCACTATATATCAGAAGTATTTGATAGCACAAATGCACTATTAAGAAGTGACTGAAACACTTCAGGCCTCAGATTCAGGAATTTTCTTCTACAATCTTTGATGGCTTTTTGAACCGAATTCTCCTTTAAATAACTAACGAAATGCATGTATATTTATTTACAAGAAAAATCCGGATGTTTATTTGGCATTCATCTTTCATTTTATTGTGTTCTCTAGTTGGTCAGGATTTCCAGATTCTGGGATTAAGAATGTATTTGGATGGATAATGAAGTGTCAGCATCTGGTGTGTTTTGTACACTTTTCTCTCAGGCTTCTGCTCCTAAATATTAAATAGTAAAAGGTGCTTCCTTAGGGGAAGCAGTTTCTGTAAGTGGTCTATTTGTGGTTTTCTGGGTGGACAAATAGTTACTTAGCCAAAAACTATAAAACAGATTACTTGCTATTAAACTGGTTATAAATTTTGTCTATGCCTGGCTTTGATTAACCCATTCGCCAGGGATGTGTGTTTTTCCTGTATGGAATTGTTACCAGCTGTCTTTACATAATAGGTATCTTATCTTCAGAAGTAAGCCAGTGATTATTTTGATGTGTCATTACTGTTCAGATTCTAGTGAAAGCAAAAACAATACAACTGGGGTTTCTCTTGCTCTTTAGTCCCCCAAATCTCCCATTCTTTAAAGACATCTCAAATCTCTCAGGGAGATTACTTTGAACATTTGTGATTACCTTCACCAAAAGTGTTCAATATTTCTTCTTTTTGTTTTCTGGAATAGATAGCTATATCATTTGGTATTTAATTGCTTCAAGTTATTCTTATTGTCCTAAAAAATTAAATAATAGTATTGAACTGTGTCCGAATATTTTAACTCATGAAGTATATTAATTACTCTTCAGTAGAAGAAAAAAATTAATTTGTCTATATGAAAGTTATAGGTGGAATTTTACTCTTTTTAATTTTTGTATTTCTTGTCTGTCTAGTGGTTTTCTTTTTTCTTAAATTATATAGTCAAAGGGAGTTTGAAAGATGTTTTCCAATGGAATTTTTTAACTTACTGTGTAACTCTTTCAATGTTACATTATTTCTTTTCCCTTAGATTTCAACAAGAAAAACTTAAACTTCGTGGGATTCCCACATCAAAGAAAAGTTGCAAGGTAATGTAGCCTTTGTTCAAGGAATCTTAAAGTTTGGAGATTCATAATAGCTTTTAAAACGATTCTCTAAAAGTCCTTCTTTCTTTTTTTTTTTTTTTAAATTGTGTGCTGGGGATCAAACCTAGGGCCTTCTGTATGCTAAGCATACACTCTGCCACTGAGCTATACCCCAAACTCATAGTCTCTTAAATTCCTAAGTCTTTTATGTGTTTGGCAATATGATTTCTCCCCAGAGTTCTATTCATTAAAATATACGGAGCAAGGGATATAACTCAAAGCTTTGGCAGATTCCTAGCATGTGCAAAGACCTGGGTTCAACTGCCAGCATCACAGCCGGGGATAGGGGAAGGATCACACACACACACACAAACACACACACACACACACACACACTCTACACACACATACAGAGAAAGAGAGAGAGAGAACACAAGCAAACTGACTTAACAGTATACTTGGGCAGCAGAGATTTAAATCTTTTTGGATTTAATGCTATTTATGATAACTATTTAGGGAATTGAATGTGTGGCTTATAACTAGTTACAAACTTATAGAGCTGTTTTCTTTTTTCTGTCTCACATCTACCTCCAAGCTTGGTTTATCCCTTTATAATCTGTCCATCAAGTAAGGGAATTTTTTATTTTTTAAGAAAGAGCTTAACCTTGTCCCTCCCCCTCTCTTTCCTGTCCACCATTCCTTCCTTCCACCCATCCCTTCCTCTTTCCTTCCCTCCCTCCCTCCCTCCCTGTCTCACCCACTCCTCTGTCCATGAGGAGTTCTCATTGCCTGGTGTTAGCATCTTTCTCAGCCTGTCTGCACTTCCATTTCCCTTGGCTGCAGGATATTATGGGTGCTGATTTGATTTACCTAAGGGGCTAAGACTCCATGGCCCATCACTGATGTAAGATAATGTAAAAATGAAAGTGCATGCCAGATAAGTGGCTCTATCGCAGGTGTTCCATCATAAATCATTGTCTTTAATACCATCTGGTATTCTCAAGTAGAGGCACCAAGTCATTGTTCCCTCCCTACACACTCAGGCAGGGATCTCGACTTGTACTTCATTGTGCTAGAAGAACCCAACTCCTGATCCACCCTTCATTTCACTCCGATGCTCTTGTACGTAATGTGTTGTGACATTGTTACTTTACTAGAAAGGACTTGCATTTTCTTGGCATCAGAAAAAATAGTTGTCAGACTCCAATTTTCATCAGGCAGAGCCTAACTCTGCATTCGAAAATTGGAAAGTTGATTTTACGAACACTCTAGATAGGACAAATCCTTGGTGTATTTCATATACTTCTAAATATAAGATAAATTAGAGCAATAATGATTCAGGGTCATTAGTAAGGTCATCTCATCGACTGACTGATGAAATCACTAATAGAGTGCTTGACCTACCCCTGTTCAGCATCTTTGGCATGTTTTTAATAGAACTTGTGGCTCATTTCCCAATACGTCCCAGCATTTTGGCCTAATTGGAATAGAGATAATAAGTGACTAAGAAAAAAGAAAGAAAAGGAAAAGGAGTCAGGAAAAGCCTGAAATATAAAAGTCAGACACTTCAGTGGACAGCAACTCAAAGGGACACAGCAGGTGTAAAATCATGGCCATTATTTTATGGATACCTATGAAAATCACTGGCTTACTCTGCATGGGACTAAGGACAAAATGTGCTAGAGGTCTAAGAGCCTGCCTGCTGGTCCAGTAGACACCAGCTAGAGAGATGAGGTAGATGAAGTAGTGGGCTTGCACCTCCCTTATCTTGTAATTTACAATTTTGTAGCAGAGCAAACAGACTGTAAGGGAGCCTTTGACAGAGAGGGTGCTGGAGAGTGTTTGAGGATAACAGCGCAGCATCCTTCTCTCCTTTTAATAAAATCTGCCCTTATTGCTGCTGCTGGGCATGTAAGTAGGTTAATGGGACATGTTTAAAAAACTGTATCATGGAAGCTGAAGGCAAGGTCTTCTGCACCGACTGAAGTCAAGGAAGGAAGGTTCAGGAATGACAAAATGAGTCACAGGAATGGGCACTACTTCAGAGAAGATAATTGCATAAAAATGCAATGTTTCTTAATATTAGAACATTCAAATTTTATAATCACAAAAATTAAGGCCATCGTGTACTTCAGTTATAAATGGAGAGATGCTTCCATACTGAAGTACAGGCTCAGGACACTTTTGGTTGAGGAGCAAGCACACCATGGCCTGCAGAGGTTGTCTCTCCAGAGTCCCCTCATCCTGGAGGTGGGAAGGGATGAAAAGAGGAAGAACAAGATCTGACATCCAAGCTCAGGCTGTGGAGTTCCCCATCGTGGGAGCTGGGCTTTGGCACTCTGACAACTCAGGAAATAGAGGAGGCTGATGGAAGGGCTCTTTGGGGTATGTATGTCTAGTACATGGTTTATAAAGCTTGATCATTTTCAATATTTTATTGGAGCCATATTAGGACATCCCAACAGTATTTTCCTGATGGTGAAAGTCCAGGGAAGATATACAGATGTTTTCTAAGAACCTGGTTTCTCATGCTGATTTACCACAGCTTTTGCAATTCCCTTGAGCCCGAGCCCCAGGTTCCCTCTATTTGTTCTTGCTCTCTGCCATCTGCTTCCTCTGAAATTATCAGGCATGTGGCAGGAATGGGGGAGGGAGGCCCCAGGAACAGGAGTAGAGTAAGACAGCCACATGGGTTCCAGCTTACATATGTAGAGCTGTAGCTTTTAGAAAGAGATTTATACATGTATGCTAATATACTAATATTTCATGCCTGTGTGCAAGGTGGGAAAAGGTAGTAAGGAGAGACGTTTTTCCAATCATATACTGTTCTAAAGTTGAGAGAAGGACAGAAAGGAAGTGGGAGGAAGGGGAGGGGAGGGGAGGGAAGAGGAAAAAAAGGGGGATGGGAGGGGGAGGGAAGGGGAAAAGAGGGGAGGGGAGGGGGGAAGGAAGGAAAGAAGGAAAATATAACTGATGTTGCTGAATATATGTGCCTCTAATGATTCTCAATAATTGTGATTTTTGTCCCTGGTTATCACATCAACAGTGTATAAATTATATAGATACTTTATGGAAAATTATAGTATATAGCTAAAGTATTTTATAGCAATCATTCATTCATTTAATAGATATTTACTGATCTTTTTTAAGACTAGGGATATAGCTCAGTGGTAGAGCATGTGCATAGCATGAGGCCCTGGGTTTGATCCTCAGCACCACACACACACACACACACACACACACACACACACAAAGCCTATCAAAATATTTAAATTAGCAACTAAATACTCAATTAAAATGGTATGCTACTTCTTAAGTAGGGTACATTTCTGCAGTTATTTAACTTTTTTAGGAGTATACTAAATCACACACCTGCATATAACACTGAAAATAATCATCACTACCTTACAATTCACTGTTTAGACATTGGAGTTATTTTTTTTTCCCCCAGTACTGGGGATTCTGCCCAGGTCCTTGCATGTGCTAGGCTATCACTCTACCACTGAGCTAGCCCTTGTAAAATTTTATTTTGAGACAGGGTATCTTACTAAGTTGCTCAGGCTGGCCTAAAACTTGCAGTCTTCCTGCCTTAGCCTCCTGAGTAGAGCTGGGATTACAGGTGTCTTGCCACTATACCAGCTCATTGGTATTAATTCTGACTAGGCAGATTGTCTTTAAGCTAATCTAGTGCATGGTTTATAAAGTTTAATTATTTTCAATATTTTATTAAATATGTGAGTCCATGATAAATTTTTGAATATAAGTTTTCTGCATTTACATGAGGTAAACTTCTGATGGATTTGGTTCTACAAAGGTTTGATGGTGCACCATGCATTAAAATGTGCAGAAATTCCTTCCAATTTAATTTGTACATAGGGTATAGATTGTTCATGTGCCCCTCGTAGACAGTATGCCCAGCAACTTACTCAGAATCTTCTTAGGGCTATATGGAAATGTACACCTATAGAGACAAATAGGAAGAGGTACAGGGTATATTAGACAGTTTCACATTACTACAACAAAATACCTACCACAGGCTACTTATGAAGTAAAGAGATTTATTTGGCTCATAGTTCTAGAGATGCAAGTCTAAGATTGGGCAGCTCTCTCTGATGAAGGTGGCACAACATGGCAAGAGCATATATCAGAACAAGTAATTACGTCTCATGACAAGAAGAGCCTGAGAAGAAAAAACCAGGATCACACAACCCTCTTTCAGAGGATCCCCAATGACCTAAGGACTTCTCACTAAGTCCTTCCTCCCAATAGTGCTACCCAGGGAACCAAAGCTTTACACTGGATCTTTGGGGGGCACCTATTTAAACCATAGCAATGGGGAAGGTCACTTCACCCTGAGTGTATTTTCAGGACTATTATTCACTTCTGTGGGGGTAATTGATGTTGGAGAATGGCAGTGTCTTGTTTTCTGCTTTTTGAGGCAGCAGCACCATCTGCCTTACTAGACTCCAGGCACATTTCCATCCAAGACCCTGAGGTGTAGCCAGCAGTCTCGGGCAGCTGCACATCTACAGTACTGGAGCAGGAGCTAGATTTGAATCTCGTCTCTCCTTATCAAATCTGTGTCCTTAGACACATCATGTAAACTAAAGATGAAATCCTTCTAGGGCTGTTCTGGAACCAGCTGGTACTGCACTCACTTGTGTGTGTCTTGCTCCTAACTTTAAGCCAAGTGGTTCCTGTGGGTAGCCCAAATTGGCCATGGTATAGATACTGACACCACCAGCAACTGATGCAAAGCAGTGCTCATTGCATGACCTCTTGGGTGAGCACACACCTCATAGGACCCAGTGGATACCATTAAGATGACACCTGGATATGCTTATCACAGGGAAAAGTGCATAGTGAGTGCTCAATCCCTCTATAAGTCTCCTCTTTTATTCCAAGACTATCTTTATGGGCCTCTCATACCTTTTGATTGTGCTTTGGTTTCTTGATTGTCTGAAGGCCTGTGTGACTTTAATAAAATTTTAACAGTGGAAGACAGTATATAGGTCTCTTCAAGTTGCTAATTTTCTGAGGAAGAAATTGTAGCACAGAATTGTAGAAATTGAGAGGCTGAGCAATTAATCCAAGTATACACAGATGGGGTGTAGAATATCATTGATCAGAACAAAGGAATATGACTCCAAGAGCCTGCAACATTTTCACCACCTTACACAAGTGCTGTTCTTACTTGCACAAGAAAATCATAATATTAACATGAGCATTAATAGGGCCAGGGATATAGTTCAATGGTAGAGCACATACCTAGCATGCGTGAGGCTGGTTTCAATCCCCAGCACTGAAAAAAAAAAAAAAAGTCCAAATTTTAAAAGTTTACTAAAACGCCCTCCAAAAGAAAACATTTTTTACTATGTGTGACAATAGCGTGATTCTTTATGTTCTGCATTTTTTTCACATAATGACCTATATATTGATTTAAATGGTCTTTCAACACTTTATTAATGGAATGACTTTTAGTTTTCAGAAAGAGTTCTCATTTGACAATAAAGAAAAACTCACTTCCCACAAAAGTAGATTCGATGCTGAAATTTTAACTACACTTCCTAAAGGTAAGACTTTTTCTAAATGGCTAGCCAATATCTGGGCACCCAAGGATAGCATTATCTAAGTCTTTGGAGGGATTCTCTCACTTCTCATCTCATCCAAGAATGAGCTTCAAGTCCTGTGCCTTCTTCAAATTCTCACATTTCTAGCCTTAGGCATCCTCAAGATTTTACTGGAGGCTTCAGGAGGAGGGGGAGAGTCAACTTTCCCTTTTTTCACTCCTTACTTTAACCTTCTCCAAGTGCTGTACATCCCGCTTGCCCCCATTCATGTCCATCCACTTACTCCCTCTGGGGTCTTCTCCCCTTGCCCTTGGCTTCTTCCCTTTACACTCAGTATCTTAGAGCTCCCTACTGTGCGATCAACAGCTGGTGCATACGGTATCATAATTCTTCTTCCCCTAAGTCATTACTTACACATGGTGGGTGAAGTTTCCATTGTAAAAGGTGCACAATCTGTAAAAATGTATATAACATACTCTAGGCTGACCCCCTCTAGTTTTGTCTCTGACATGATGTAAGCACTGCTTGATCTGTTTGTCACCAACTGCAACACAAGTACAATGATCATTTAGTAATAGCTCACAAAATGTCCTCATCCCTAGTTAACTACAGTTAAACCAGGTTGGATGGAAGGGCAGATTTTTTTCTCTACTCTGAAAGGGGCGGGGAATCAAGACCCAAATAAATTAGATCAAAAGAAATATTCTTTTAATAGGAACTAAATCCAGTTTAAAAGGTACACTGACAAATTGGAATATATCCTGAGGAACGGAGTGGTTGATTTGCCTAGACTCCATGGATTTCACCTGGTGAAGAAAACTTAAATAGGGACACGTTGCTATTGTCAAATACTAACAAAGCTGTCAACTGAAATATAGGCTTATTCTATGTTTGCCCCAGGGGCCAAGAAATAGGACTAATGTGCAGAATTAAAAGGAGGTAGATAAGATTTCACATGAAAAAAGAAAACTGCAATAGCTCATGGTACAGTAGTCCCCCTTTATCTGTATGTGATACTTTCCAAGAGCCCCAGAGGATGCCTGAGGCTGCAGATAGCACCAAGCCCTATATATGTGTACTTTGTTCTTTCCTATACACACACGTATGATAGTTTAATTTATAAATTAGGCACAGTAAGGGATTAACAGTAATAACTGCTAATAAAATAGGACAATTATAATTATAACCAGATACTGTACTAAAACTTTTGAGAGTTTCCATCTCTCTCTTCAAAGAGCCAAGACAAATACTAATATTTTCAGACTGCAGTCAACCACAGTAACTGAAACTACAGAAGGTGATACTGCAGATAATGGGGGAACTGCTATACCCAGAAAGGAAATGAGCCACATTGTGACCTCATAAGCTCTCTATAAGGACCAAGCATGTGGTCATGTGTTTAGGGTCGGGCAGATGCTGTGGAGGGTTCTATGTGGATGGGATGTGGACCAGGTGCAAAATGAAATGGACCTTCCAATTTTTAGAATTCCTTGTGAAAGACAAAGAAACCCAATTTAATCCGAGTCAAATTAAATGTTTAAAATCTGTGAATATGATCAAAACAAAGTAGAAGAATGAACAGATTGATTTTGGCAATGGCTGAGAAAAGTAGACTGATTAGGCACAGTTTTATATAACAAAAGTTGTTTCCATGAGGAGAAAGGGTCCCTCTTCTCCCTTATCTACCCAAGTTCCCTTTTTTGATAAATGGCACCATAGATAATACCACCACCATAAAAACTAGGAACGGTTTGAGATGCCAGGTTCCTTAAAACTCATCATATTATAACTTCATATATAACAAAAACTTTAAAGACATGTTTATTAACATTTTATTATGGAATGTATCTTAATTGATTATAAAATATAATTTTCACAAACCAAAGATGATGACTTTATATATTAACACAATTTTTATTTCTAAACTAATGAGGCTGTAAATCTTCAAAGTGTGTTTAAAAGTGCCCATGCCCCTCTTCCCCTGAATTTTGTCTTAGTTCCCCATGGTCTTATTTCCACATAGTCTTTGCTATCTGTGACTTGGGGCAGGCACGTTTGGAAAGACCCAGGTATTACCAGCCATCTCTCTGTTTCTCTGTCTTAAATTTGTTAGTGATTTTGTCTATTGGCTTTTAGTAATATAATGTTAAAAATGGAACTGATTAAATTTTGTTTCAGAGACAAAGAGTTTTATGTCTGTTTGTAAGTTTGCAGAAGTTTCTTTCTGTTCATTGAGTAAGGGATTCTTGCTCATATGAAACTGGGTCTTAAAATGGTGGTTTCTTTTTCTCTTAGGGACTTTCCTTAACTGTGTATCGCAAAAGAGAAATCAAAGAATTAAAAATCTTTACCTATGTAAAGGTTATATTGTTAACATAGATTTTCCATTTTGGAATTATGGGATGGACCAAATGCATTACTCTCTTTAACAGCTTTATTAACATATAATGCACATACTATAGAATTTGTCAATTTAATGCATAGAATTTACTGGCTTTTAGTAGTTTCACAGAGGTGTAGGTCCATCTCCACAGTCAATTTTAGAACATTTTCATTATTTCAAAAAGGAAACCCTATACCTTTCAGCTGTCACTCCTTCCCCTCATTCCTCTTGATTGCTAATTACTTATTTTACAAGCTGCTTGTCTTTATATTAGTGGCTGCCTTCCAACTGTGAAAATTAAAGTGTGTTACTCCTATGGGAAGACGGATCAGTGTTCAGAATGTGGCCGGTCTGGCCTGAGCTCCCAGGCTGTCAAGTGACAGAGGAGAGAGAAGTAGAGAAGTGTGCTTGGCACTATCCTACCACTTGTATTTCTTTGGAATATTCTATGGTTCTCAGGTGTGTAGAACCAAATTCAACAATGTCTTTGCCAGAGATTTTCTGTTTCTCAGAGCTAGTTGAAGAAATTATATTTCCCAAGAAAATCACCCAGAAGACTAAAATATTCTAAGTATTGGTGTTATATATTCTCATTACAAAGAATATTTGATAGATACCCTTATAGAATATTATGGCCCCACTGTCAACTTTCCTTAATTGGCCTTACCTGAAAACTGAACAACCAGCTCCTCCAACCAATAACTTCAAAATGAACTCATAGACTCCATATTGTCATAGAAGTACCACTCTAAATTATTCAGATGGGTAGAGACCAAGGTGGCAGGTGTAAATGGAAAAAAATCCTATGCACGAAAACTATTTGAAAGCAAAATAGAACATTTCTCTACAAAGGAAATTTGACCATCTATTCGTGTTTGTATCTGGATTGCTTGATGTATTTAGTGTTACTAAATCTGAACCAGTTTTGAATTGTAATTATGACACAGCACACAGTCGATTAAATTAGGGCTATTAGAATCTAATTTTTAAAAATATCCCTATTGTTGATGGGCCCCTGGTGCATGCCTATAATCCTAGTGACCCAGGAGGCTGAGGTAGGAGAATCATAAGTTCAAGACCAGCCTGGGCAACTTAGAGAGACCCTGTCTGAAAATATAAATAAATAAATAAATGGACTGGAGAGGTAGCTCAGTAGTAGAACTCCCCTGGGTTCAATCTTTAATACTACCAGAAAACACACACACACATGTGCACCCCCACACACGTATACTATATACATTTTTCCTATTGAGATACACACACACACACACACACACACACACACACCTATAAGACTATTGCTTAATTTTAGGAAATATATATGGAAGAATTTACAGATAAAGAGGCATCATGCTGCAACTTACTCAAATATTCTGAAAAAATATTATGTGAAATTATATAAAAATTTTAAAAGGAAAGAAACCTTCAAGATTATCAGAAGATAATTTCAGTAGAGCTGTAAATGGTCTCTATATGTGAAACAATGGAGTTACAATATAGATTTCCACAGCAGGGCTAACTTCAGTCCATGATTTTTAGTATTATTATCTCTTTTACAATTCTCCAAAATAATAAACCTGTACAGAAATTCAACCAGAGGGCCTAATGAGGACCATAAGAGCTTATGTAAAATTTGGGATAAAAAAGAAAGTGCACACACATCAGCAATCCATATAAAATGTCATTCTTTCTTTTACAACTAAGGTGGTTTCCCATAAGATATATAAAAGTAGTTGTATTACACATTTGTTTTACTAATTTTACTTTTAAATTATGGACTTGGAGAAAAGAAGCCAAACTCAAATACTTTTTTTTCTTGTGCATAATTTCTTTTACATGATTTTTGTCTTGCACATAATTTCTTTCTTATAATCTCATGTCTATAGGAATGAGACAAATCTTACTTACTTATTTGTTAGAAAGAATAGACCGAGAAGTAATTATCTGTTTACTGGAGGGTTCCCCCCCCAAAATACTCACTATTGATTTCAACTAAGAATTGATAAGTTCACCAATACATTTAAAGTCTATTTTAACTTATGGCTATATTTCATTGCTCAGTAAAATGATCAGATAAGACTGCAAGGTATTGTTTCAAGACCCACTATGTTCATGGGTAGATACTAGCTTCTGGGAGCAATAGTTTTGAGTTTGAGTCTGTGTGTGATGGAGAAGAACACAGTAATGGGCAGTCGGATTTGTCTTGGATAATCTATGGCATTGGAGTCTGGGGATCAGGCTGCCGATCTGAAATTTTTGTACTAGGATCAATGGGTCTCAATCCAAGACAGTTCCAACAGAGCTTTGAAAACATGGGCATTTTTACTTCGGATAACTTAGCATTTAATAGGAGAGAACCAGGGATATTCAACATGCCGTAGTGCAGGGCTTACATTTCTTACATAAAAGGCCATCAACACCCTCACAGTGATCTATATATTCCGGAGCCAGTCTTCTAAGTCTGTGACCCTAATGACATACATCTGTGCATCTGTTAAATGCTACTCTAAGACTTTCCTTCTGTTGCCCAGAAGTCAGTGGCTACCAGATGGTAATGTTTCCTTCTGAACTGGTCAAACTGTTCTGTCCAGAAAGGGGCACAGAGGTCCCTGGAGGACAACGTGATCCACCCCATCCTTCTCTTTGCTGTCACTGCTCCAGTCTGAGGTTCAGCTTCTGTGATGACCAATCCTTTTGACTGTTGCCTGCCCCCTCTTTATCTTATCAGTCCTTATTGAAAGAGGGTGTTAATGTTACTGGACCCAAGTCCTTCTGCTCACCGCGCAAAAGCCAATACTCAGGAGAAGAGAGTTGGTAGAGTGGAAATCAGATTTATTCAAGGACTATCCTTGAGAAGATGGACAGGGCTGTTGTCCTCAAAGCACCATCTTGGGGAACTCAAGTACACAAAAGGGATTTTATGAGGAGGGAAAGGAAGTACATAGGACTGTGGAAAGTAAGGCCACATGCTGAGCAAGGTCTTCATCATTCAAGACACTCATCTCCTTTTCTCCTCCTTTGGCTGGTAATCTCAGTAGGCCTTGATTTCCTAGGGCTAGTTATGAACACGTTATTTTTTCCACAATTTAACAGCACAACATTGTATTAGTCAAGAATTAAAAAGGGTGTGACACATCTGATATTTTCTAAAGGTCACTGGATGTTCTGGATTCTATAAATCTTAATATCTTAATTTCTTTAGAATTTAGAAAGATGGGCATAGGGATGGGAAACAAAAGTAATTCTTTGAAAGACAGAGTGGCAAAGGAGCAGCCACTCTCTTACTATAATGGCACTAGAAAAAGTAGAGCTTTGTGAGTGAGAGGATAGCGTGTTCTCCCATTGAGTTGATCTTCCTGCTGGAATATGGAAATGAAAATAGCAGTAGCAACTTGTTGTTCAACTTTTTCACGTACTGTAGAGATCTTTTTTTTTAAGATAATTTCTACAGAAAATTTTAAAATAAGCCTTATTGAAATGATAGTGATTTTCAGTAGTTTCAGTAGTTTCTAATTAGAAAAACAATATATATATGTCTTAACTTTTTCCAGTGGCGGTGGAGGTTCACCTCAGCCTTCATCTACTCTGATTCTTGCGGAAGTTATATGACACTGTTTTTGTTTATGTTTTTTTTTTATCTTATCCAGTTGAAATAATTTGGGGATAGAAAAGGTAAGTTTCATTATACTTCAGGACCCCAGTAATACACTACTATATGTCTCGGTTGTGATTTTGAGGCATGGATTTAAGACGCCTCTTTCAGGAACCCTGGAATTTGGTTTCAATAAACTCTTGAGCAGTCTCATCAAAAACACAGCCCCATTCTCTTCTTGGGGTTTAAATAATTAATTAAAACTCTCTGGTAAATATTTTCAAAATATGTACTATCGGCATTAAAGTTTTATCACCATAATCTCAACAGAGCTAATTTGTTAATTGGGAAGCTTTTATTGGCTTCCTTATGCAAGGCAGGAGGCAGGATGCACCCTGATCATTATGCCCTTGTCTTCTAAATAGGAACATAATTAACATTACAGAGCAAGTTCACCTCAGCCTTCATCTACTCTGATTCTTGCGGAAGCCAATAGAGAGATTTCAAAGTCAGAGAGAGAGAGAAAGAGAGACAGACTTTATTTTGAAGCCAAATGCTAGTTTTAGGTGGCAGTCCTTTAAAAGTAATAAATTCCCAAACACAAAAGGCATTATAAAAGTCGCATATATATTTGTGTGGTTTTAGACTCATTCCTAAAACTGACTGCTTTAAATAAGAATCAGAAATTAAAGCAGTTGAAAATTAAATTCCATGTATTCATATTCTGCCCTCTGAGTTTCTCCTGTGACTCAGACTTTTAGCACTGTCATTGGCTGCAGGCTATCCAGCCACCCTGTCCCTCTGCCTTTCTTTCTCTCCCACCCTTTCCTGAGTCTTCAATAAGAGCCACTCAGATGAACCCTTATGAATTGAAGGAGGAGGAGAGAATAAAGACCTTTATTTTCTACCAACTTGGGCCATTTCTCCAAAGAAACAATTGTCTGGGATCTGAGGTCAGTCATATTCCTGTAGTTGGTGTCACATGAGAACCTCCCAGCCTCAGCAAAACATTTTTTGTTCATCCAGCGCTGCCAGAAAAATTGGGTAATCATTTTATCCATCATCCACCTAAATTATAGCTGGAAATAAACACTGGCATTTCCTTCCAGTAAAAGCCTGTAAGGGGAGATGTAGGTCCTGCATTGACCTGAACTGTATTTAGTCTGGGTATACCGCGTTAGGTAGCACAATCATGTAGTTAAGATATTTACAGATTGAATAATAAGGTGAAATAGGAGTGACTATGAATTGGTGACTGTAGCTTTCTAATGGCCCTCCGGCTCTTTGGAGCACTAGTCTTTACTTTTGTAAAAGTTTTCCAGACTATAAGCTGAAAATACATTATTAAGTTATACCAAAGTTAGTAAGAGATATTTGGATTTCTGCTAAAAACACCTTAGTAGAGAGATCTTGCAAGTGAGGCCTCCTTTGACTCCCCTGGGTGACAGAGAACATTTTTAGCCTGGATTAGTTTATTTCTTAGCCTAGGATATGTGTGTATGGTGGGTGGAGGGTTGGGATTGTAATATGGCTGTGTGTACATGCTTATTCATTTGGCATCTGCCTGCCCTACTAGAAAACAAACTCCAAGAAAGTAGGAACTTGGTCAGTGTCATGTATCTCTGCTGCATGGGAGGCAAGAACAGAAATTTGAGTTGAATAAGCATATATTGAATGAAATGAATGCTTGACCACTAACTACTGTACTTTCTTTTTGCTCCTTTTGGCTTTGTTTTAGTTGCAGAATTAAGAAAACTCTTTGAACCAAAGAAAGAACTTACAGAAATGAAAAGGTAAGATAAGTAGAAGAGTGTGGCAGTGTGGCAAAGCAGTATTCGATTGTCCCTGAGCATTGATTTTTGGGGGCTCACTAAGACTTTTTTTGGTGTATTGCACAGAAAAGAGAGAATTGCAAGGCGCCTGGAAGGGATTGAAAATGAAACCCAGCCCATCCTCTTGCAGAGCTGCACAGGATTAGTGACTCATCGCCTGCTGGAGGAAGACACGCCCAGATACATGAGAGCCACAGACCCTGCCAGCCCCCACACTGGTGAGCATGCGTGACCATCATCAGGCAGGCTGCTCAGCATGTTACCCATCGCCTTTTTAATCTACTGGTATTGGAGAGATATTCAACAAAAGTGAATTGTGTGCATATACTCTTTATTAAATGTGTTTATTAAAAACAGCCAGAGCAATCATCATGCATGTGGTCCTCTGGTGTCACAGCAGTAAAAAATGACTCCCCTTAGCACATTGCGGGGGAACTGTTGACCAGCCATTCCCCCCAAGGACTGGGACTCCTCAAAGGAGTGCTCAGCACAGGATCTGCAGTCAGAAGCACTTAGGAAATGTTTGGTAAAGGAATGAATGAGATAGGTGCCTTATAGTTCTCACAGTAGGTTTGAACTAGATGCCCAGGTTCCCAGCAAAAGAGGCAACTGCTTTCAGCAGGGAGAGTTGAAGGCAGAGCTGGACCTTGAATGATGAGGAAACTTACTCTAAGTGTTTATGCAACAAAGCATTCTTTTAAAATTGTTTTGGAGTATGTAAATGTACTGCATGTTGATTTCATACTAAGCAGCATGTCAAACATGACGTCTTCTCCTTGGTTATGCAGAGTCACTGCTATGGACATCAGCTTGACCTCAGGAGAAAGCAATGCTCTCAGGGCTGATGTCCCCACCCCCAGTCCCTGGCTTTGAGGCCTGCGTTGCTACTTTTTATAGCCAGTGTCTTCTGGTTTCTCCCTCAGAGAGGAATGTTGATCTCACATCGTAATGTTACCAGTTTGCTTGTCTATGGTTTCTGATTTTCTATAGCAAGAAAACTATAGAGAACTAAGTTTTTTTTAAATGCCATAACATGAAGAATCAATAATAGACAGATCAGAATACCAAAATTTATAGCCAGAAGCAAATCCTGGTATATATAAAATATTCAACCATGCAGCATATAAGCATATTTAAGCATCACATATTAGTGAGGAAAGAATTACTTCATAAAATAGTATTGGGGAAATGAGCTCACCAAGAGGGGAGAAAAAGGGGGCATATTCCTCTTTCTGCTTCAGTCCAAACCCCAAAATAAGATTCAGTTACTCATGTGATTGTTTTAAACAAAATAATTTGAAACATGAAAACATGGTCAAATATTTAATTCAAGTGGAATAGAAAGTGACATTTGAAGCACAGAAACAATTGAAGATAGTGGTTATCACAAATGATAGTAGTAGTAGCAGTATGTAGTCACTTGACCTGACTACTTAAGGAATAACATCTTCACTTCAAAGAAAATCTTACTCACGTACACTAGAAACAAAACTAAACCTGGGGAGTGCAGGACTGGGTTTCTGTGTGACCTTCACACCCTTTACCCCAGCTCTCAGACTTGTTCAGCAGCCCAGGTAATTTTGGAAATATTCCTGAAGAAGACACAGGGCTAGTACTCCTATAAAAATTTACATGAACCAATGAAAATGACACTGTCAGTATTGTATAGGGCAATAAGACTGGGCAGGCATTCCCTAGAAGGAGAAGAGAATATAAATGTAAATGAATATAAAGAGAATATAAATGGTTAATAAACAGATGAGAAAATGCATATATTCTTTTTTTGATCAAATGCAATTTTTTTAAACAATGAGCACTCATTTCTAAGGAAGCATGTATTGCAGATATAAGTTTCAGTTGCTGCACACTTATAGAAATTTAACAGTCTAGCATGTTTCTCAAAATGATGTACCCTTTGATAAAGCAATTCTACTATTATACATTGTTCTGCTGTGATAATTATCAGAAAATCAGGCTGATTAAAAGTTAGAAACATATGCCCAGAAATATGGCAAGGGTTAAACAGACTATGGAATGCCTGTTGGATAGAATATTATAAGGCTTAAAAAGTGTTCTTTAAAATAAGATTTGCAAATGTAAGAAAATATTATTTATAAGGCATTAATAACATTAAGTGTTTCATAGAGAAAAAAGAAATGAGCTATATAAAAGACTAGAGGAATACATAAAAATGTCAAGTTGTGAGTATATTAGTACATAGTGTGATTATTGGTGATTTGGGCTTTTGCCTTTATGTGTTTTCTTGTTAGACATTTTCCACACCATACATGTGTGCTACAGTTGGAAAAAGCCACTTCTGTAAATATACATATATCATATATGTTACATATTGTTAGGTTGTATATAGAGAGAGACAGGCCATATTATTGTGTTTACTCTCAGATCCTATGAAACCACAACACATCACTTGTCAAATTACAGCAGTTATCATATGTGCTGTACTTTCTAGAAGACTCTAAAATTGTCCTTTGGCTTCACGTGTGAAGTATTAATTTAAAAAAAAAAAAAAGGAAAAGAATTAAGGGAAAATAAGCACTGAGCAAGGACTGAGGAGCCCTGGGGAGTGCAGGACTGGGTTTCTGGGTGACCTTCACACATTTTACCCCAGGTCTCAGACTTGTTCAGCAGCCCAGGTGAATCATTTTAGGTCTGTAGACCTACGTAAGAAATCAGTTCCTCACAGCACAAACACTACAGTGCATATTATGGGCAGCATAGAATGTCTTTGTGTGTGTAAATATTGTAACTGTAAGTTTTTCCTGGAACCTGTATGTATTATGCATGTGGTCTTCTCATAGGTCGATCAAACGAAGAAGAAGAAACATCTAAATCTTCTTTAGAAAAGCAAATTCAATCCAAATATTGCACAGAAACCCCAGGGGTCCATGGCGATCCACCATATGGTTCAAGTACCATGGACACCCACGGTCTCGAGTCCAAAGCTGAAAGAATTGCAAGGTACAAAGCAGAAAGGAGACGTCAGTTGGCAGAAAAATATGGGCTGACTCTGGATCCTGATGCAGACTCTGAATATTCATCTCGGTATACCAAGTCTAGGAAGGACCCTGATGCTGTTGAGAAACGGGGAGGAAAATGTGAGAAGCAAGAAAAGCCAAGCAAAGATTTGAGTTCTCCATACTCCAGGACTGAGACCATGGGGCTCAGGACCTGTGCAGTGGAATCCAGGGACTATGCCCTCCACAGAAGTGAGGTTTCTGATAAGGAGGTGCTGCTAAATATAGAAAACCAAAGAGGATGTCAGGAGCTGAGTGCCACCCGGCAGTCTCAAGACCTGTCCCCAACAGTTGAGAGTTCCTCATCCTTCTCGTTCTCTGGGCGAGACTCCTCCTTCGCTGGGCGAGACTCCTGCTTTGCTGGGCGAGACTCCTCCTTCACTGAAGTGCCAAGGTCCCCAAAGCAAATGTCCTGCTCCTCTCTTCAGCAACCTGCCTCCCTGAGCCACTCCAGTGGTGACCAGACACTGACCCCAGAGGCTCGGTCCAGGTAAGCACACAGCCCAGCACTAACCATCCCGAATCCAGGAAAACACCTGTACCCTCTTTCTCTGCCTTGCTGTGTGGTAGAGTTTGCATATTCTTGGCATTCTATTCAGGTCTCCACTTATTGGAGCAATAATATTTTTTTTTTTTGTAATTTCCACAATATCAAAATAAGTTCGACTAGCAAAGCCCAGGACCTGTAATCCTAGCAGCTTAGGAGGCTGAGGCAGGAGGATGGCAATTTCAAAGCCAGCCTCAGTAACTTAGACCCTTGCAATTCAGTGAAACCCTGTCTCTAAATAAAATATTTAAAAGGGTTGGGGATGTGGCTCAGTGGTTAAGCACCCCTGGGTTCAATTCCCAGTACCAAAAAAATAGAAAGGGTTGGGGATGTGGCTCAGTGGTTAAGCACCCCTAGTTCAATCCTTGGTCCCCAAAATAGTTCTACTAAAGCAAAAAGGCTCGTACCTTTTTGTATGTATGATTTTTATGTTCTTTTTGAAAATAACAAACTTTTAGGTGTCTCTAAACTTTCATGGAAGTCTCCCTTCAGGACTCTTCTTTTTCTTACCTGCTTTTCATAATTTATCTTTTTGTTTTTCTATAGTTATGCTTAAGACTTAGGGCTTTTCACAGTTGATTTTGTCTGATGTTTAGAATCACAGCAGAAGGAGCAAGACCCACTAGTGGGAGTCTCTCAATTTAGGGTGCAGAATGTCTGTAGTGTACACTGCATGTCACTATGTAAGTGTGTCAATACACTAAGGCACAGTTGTGTATAAGGACACATCATTAAAAAGGACAGACATTAAGAGAAACCATTGTGGAAAAGGACCTACCAAAAATAACAGCTCCTATGGGGGAAAACTGGGAGAGAGGTTAAATCAGAAAGTCAAATGCCAGGAGAGCCTATGTGTTTGCCTCTAAATTTAAACTGAAAAAGCATGGTGATCATATTTAAAGCACAATTTACTAAGATATCCTCTTTAAGGGTTTAGAGTCATAGTCTAGGTAGATTCCTAAGTCTGTTTTCACTTCAAACAAGCAGTACTTTCACAGGTAGATTGAGGAAGAATGAGAAGCTACAGTGAAGCAAATTTATTATATGAAAAATATGTATATGTGTGTGTTAGAAAAGCGCGCGTGTGTGTGTGTGTGTGTGTGTGTGTGTTGGAAAATACTCTTGTGTGATTCACCTTGGGACAGAGTGATGAACAACACCTGGTCTCTTTTTTAAGTAGCAGTAATATGCCTGAAGCAGATCATTTTAGTTATTGAAGTTTATTAAGCCAAAGATCTGTCCTTACTTACTTGATCATCTGGACTGACATATTTGGAGATGTCAGTTTCTAAGATAAATAAATACTGTTCATCCCAAGAATGTATTTTTGAGGACCTTTTCAGACTTGGGACTTAATTCCTTGAAACTGAGAGACTGTGATCTGTTCTCTCACATTTTGAAAGGGGAGATATTTTGTTTGGTAAATTAACACTTCACCATAGAAACAGTGTTCTTAGCTTTGTCACTCTCTGTCAAAGGTAATCCTTTTTGTGTTTTGTAGGTAGGACAAAGAAGCCTAATAGATTCCAATTTAGGAAAAAATATTGAAGATATACAATTATGTTACCTAAACAGTGGACAGGGTGGGGGACAATTGGGAGTTAGCCCAGCACTAGAGCACATGCTTAGTAGGCATTCAATCCCTGGCACCCAAAAAAGAAAAATCTAATTTCAAATTGTCATACAATGACTGCTGTTTCAAGTTGTTTTCAAGGTATCTAGGTTAGTCACCTAGATGAGCTGGGGTAATAGTAATAGGTAATATAATAGGTTCTCAGTGGGCTAGGGACTTAGCTCAGTAGTAGAGCACCTGTCTAGCATTCATAAGGCCCTAAAAAAGAATTGAAAACATGATCAGTAAGATTTTGAATAATTTGTGATCATAATTAAAACTTTGTTGAACATTCCAAGTAAAAGATAGGATATTTTATATACTTGATAGTTTGTGGGTTAAAATCTCTACCTGCCCCTCACCCCCAACCCAACCCTACCCTCTGAGACCTCACCCCTCTGTGCTAGGGATGGAACCCAGGTCCTCACATGCTAGGCAAGTGCCTTACCAGTGAGCCACATGCTCAGCCCCATGTTAAAATCTTAATATGCAAAGATGTGAAAAACTGAAAGTCTTTAGTCATAGGAAAGAGTTTGTTTTCCTGCTGAGCCCTGTAACAACAAGAGCCACTTCTTTAAAGGTTATTTGAAGAGCCATATTACCACAGAGTCTTCATAAGCCCAGTCTTAGCTTCACTTTCATAATGAAAAGCTAGAAAGAATCACTTTATAAAAGAATTCCAGTACAGGCATTTGCTTTTTATTTTTTTAAGCCATTCAAAATGTACAATCTTATGATTCACAGGCAAAGAAACACAAACTCATTCATCATATATATGAGAAAAACACCTGAGATCCATTTATGTAAATAAGAAGAGAGATGGAAAATAATGTGTGAAGAATATGATATTTTTAAAAATTAAAGTTTACTTTTTAATGACTGTAGTTATCCAGTTTGTAAAGGTGCATTTGAAATGGATTAATATTCTGCTTAGATGTCCTTTATCTAGAACTATGAAATTCAAGCTTCAGAAAGTCATTCTTGTCTGATTTCTATTTGGGAGGAAGCAAGATAAACAAAAAAATACTTTCTAACCTAAAACACTAACAAAAGAAATCACACCCTGTGACCTGAATAACCAAAAAGGAAAATGATAATGTCATTTGATATGAAAATATGTAGCAAAAGTTTAAGAAGATTAAAAAGCAAGAGAAAAAGTATCCACAAATAAAGTAACAATAACTGTAAGCTGGTTTTGTCTTGTTTTTGTGTTTGCCTGGCAGGGTTGGAACCTGGGGCTTTGTGCATAGTAGGCTGGCACTCTACCGTTGAGCTACACCCCCAGCCCACAGTTTTTTTTAAAAAAAAAAAATTTTTTTTCCCTTAGTTGTTGATAGATCTTTGTTTTATTTATTTATATGTGGTGCTGAAAATCGAACCCAGTGCCTCACCCATGCAAGGCAAGTACACTACCGCTGAGCCACAGTCCCAGCCCCCACGAGACAGTTTAATGTTTCATTTTTTTCATGGGTGTGTTCTATCCTGAAATGGAATATTTTTCTTTCTGCTTTACTCTCTCATCACTGAGCTCTGCCAACATTTTTGGCTGGTAAATCTTTGAATCAACACATTCCCATGTCATAATTTTGTGCTAAATAGCAGGAGATTGTTTCCTTTCATTAAGTATGAACACACTAGTCATGAATATACCATCCAAAGATTATCTACAGTGCCCTCGAAATTCAAAAGTGAGCTCGAGTCTCTTGCTGAGAGCCCTTGTGTACACTCCCATTGGCACACGCCTGTGCCTGTGGATAGGAGAATCATTAGTCCTCATACTTCACTGTGCTGGGCTGTTTTTAAACATTGTAGGTTAAACACCAGTCTTTAGGGTAGTATTTGCCTAAGGCATGTATTTATTTTGGAATCATTTAGTATTCAGCTTATATGATAAAGAAGGTTTTAAAAGTTAATTAGTATATTGATGGATTGTTACAAGATCTTTAGCCCCAAAATCCTGTTAGTTGCCCAAGAATTCAGATGAACACTTTGTTCTGAAGAAAACTAAGAATATACACCCAGCCCATACTCCTCCAGTTCTTCCAAACCCTATATGAAATTTTAGATATTGTGTTTTATGGAGAGGTAGTGTCACTGAAATGAATCATTCTTTGTTAATTCATCCACAGTAAATTTTAGAATAATCCATAGGATTATTCACCATATATATATATGTATATATATTATATATTCATATATATATATATATATATATATATCCCTATGGATTATTCAGATTTTTAAAAATCTGAATTCCTGCTACAACTAGAAATCCTGACCCCAAGACTTGTTAAATTTGCTATCTTGTGCAACTATTATTTTTAAAAGAGAAAAAAAAATGGAAATGTACCATATTTGTTACTTTTGTGAGTAAGAAACTCATGGCCTTGGGCCCCCAGCTGCTTTTTGCTTGAGCATCAACTGTCACTATTCTCATTAAACTATGTGCCTGACAAAGAGAAAATGAAAGGGAACTTACACTTTATTTTCTAATGATGATCCTCTCTAGAGGATCCTTGTTCCTTATTGACCTTGGGAGAGTTGCTATTGGTGGACGATGGCTCTGGCAGGCTCCTCATGGACACTGAGGGATGTGGAAATCAATGCTCTCTTCCCTAACATAATGCAAGGCTTTTCATGGATGGCCAAGATGATACCCGATTCACCTGTTACTTCTCAGAGCTTTTTCAGCTCAGTACTCTGCACATAGTAGGAGCTCAATAAACATTTGTCAAGTGAACCTGAATTAGTATTTGTATACATTGCATTGTTGTATGATTCAGTGATAAAAGGAAAATGCAGGTTGGTTCAGGAAGATGAAGCAGGATACCCTCCAGAGTGAAGCTTTTCTGCAACACCTTAACTTGAAGACTGAGCCCTAAGAAAGAAAGGGACTTGTGTAGGCATTTGTAGTTTACCTCTTATTGTGTTTGCTCATCTCCCAATGAGAAGTTTGAATCTCAAAACCATTTCCGCAGTCTCAGATTCTCCTGGTTTGAGTTGTTGATTGTCTGTGTCCACACACCAATAGAGATGTTGATAGGACAGGAGACTGCTTGGCGGTCAGCCTTCTATCTCAGCTCCTGTCGATTCTGGCTGCAGACTCTGTAACATGCTCCAGGGGCCAGGACAGTGCTTCATGGAAAAGAGATCTCAGATCCATCTCTAAAGAGTAACCCTCAAAGCATCTCACACATTTGTTCTATTATGAGAAAGGAGCCCCTTTCATCTTTCAGTCCTTGTACCCCAAAATCTGCATTCCTCACCTTACTGTGCCAACTTTTGGCTGTTAATGTATAGTTAAATCATTCCTGTTTGTTTGTTCCACGTA